TGCTTAGTGCTTTATGTCATTTAAGCCTCCCGACACCCAGAGGGGAAACATCCTATTATCCTGATATTACAGGTGAGGAGAGTGAGGCTTAGCAAGGTTCAGCGCCTTGCCCATGGCCACAAAGCTATTTAGAGGCTGGGCTGATATTTGATCCCAGTTGTGTCTGACTCCAAAGACCACTTTCCTACTCCCTCTCTCTCTGCCGGGTCTTGCGCTCACGTAGCTGGTTCTCTGACCTCCACTGTCTCTGCACCTTGGCGGTCGGTCCTTGCCAGGTGCACCTGTTGCTCTGGAACCTGCTGGGACAAGTCTTCCGCCTGGACCTCGACATGCTCCTTCGGATGAACTTTTGGTGTTAGCCCTGCGGCCCCACGCACCAGGGTAAGAGAGACTCTCGCTTCCTGCCCTGGCCCGAGGGACCGACTGGCTGGGCCTGCCTTCTGCCCAGCTCACCGGTCATGGAAGAGAGTTTGGACACACACTCTACTCTTGCCTGATGAAAAAAGTGTGCAGAGCCCAGGTTGTTCCTCTGACCTTAGTGGAGGGTCTAACGACCTATGGGTTAGGGCTAGGGTCTTGATCCACAAGTGCACTGGAAAGCTCTGCTCTGTTCACTGACTGCCCCTTTCCCTGGATAGTCTCTGGTACCTAATGGCTTTCAGACGTAGAGTGGTAGTCATATCGTGAGGCGGGACCAACCTGCCCTCACTCCCACAGTCACACTGGTAGAGTCAGAACCTTCCATGTGAAAGAGATAGCGTTATGTATTTGTTTAAAAACCGTCTTGTCATGCTGGGAGTAAAATTTCCTTCCTCAGGAATCAGGTAGTCTTTCCATGGTCTCGCTAATCTCCCTAAAGTAAATGGCCATTTGACTTTCCAAAATGAGAGTGTTTTCCTTGGGAGTTGTCCGGTAGCCATCTGCCCACCCTCCGCCTCCCAAGTCTAGTCTGGCTCACCCGTGTTCTGTCAACTAGAGTTTTCCATTCATCAGAACTTCTAAAGCATTCAACACAGTGGCCGCTGAGACTTGGGGTCAGGACTCTGAAGTGCCCTTCAAGACTCCCAAGCGCACTGCAGTTTGAGTGATTAAATTATGTTTGGTCTAGCATAATTGTTAGCCTGGAACCAGTTCTTTACTTTATTGTGATTCCCATGTGACCACTGGTAGTTCTTACTCAGGGTTACCTTGAAGGATAAATGTTAAAAATAGTGATCATTAAGTAAGCTGATTTGACTCAGTAATTTCTATTAAAGCATCTTTAATAGAAAATTAAATCTTTTTAGTAAAATTAAATCTTACTTTACTAAATATTTAAACCTTTAGTTAATTGGGATTTAAGGGTATTGGGGAAAGAAAGAAATATGCTTATTGGACCCCTTGGGTCTGAGTTTTTCTGGAAATGTAAATTGAGGGCTTGCGGGAGAGAATGGTTCAAGTCTTTTCTTGCCCTGACATCCTGTGGTCTTCTTAAGTAGCTAGAGGTTTATAATTTCAGAGATGTAATCCACGTGGACTTTGGGGAATACTCATTTTTGTCTAATTGGTTGCTAAGATCAGGTATCTATGGAAACAACCATCCATTAGTATTCAAGATAGGACATTTGTTCTTTTTACTCTGCACGATTATGTGACGATGAGCATAGTGTTCCTTGTATGATGGCTCCTTGCAAGACCTGAAATAGAGACTGGATTTCTTATGCCTGTGAGAGAAGCAGAAAGTACGCCTACTCCTCCCTGTGGCTTGAGCTATCTCCACATTTTCAAAAACCCATGGTCCTACCCCACAAAACCTCATGTTTACTCTTCCCAGATCCTTCTACAAGTTTTGAGTATTAAAAGTCATCTCTCACCAGTGGTTTTATAAGCTCAAAGGCAAGTTTATTTTGAATACCTTGTCCTGTATTATTTATGTCTTTATACTCAGATTTTACTTTAACATAAAAATTTTTTAATTTCTATAATATTGTTTCTGTGTTACTATGAAAGTTCTCAGTGATCAGTGCTGGATTTTCCCCAATATGAATGAACCTCCCTTCCCCTGGCAGAAGACAGTTTCTTGGGTTTGGTGAGGTCCCTGAAAGCTTTGCCTTTTTTTATTTACAGAAGAAACTTGATAGCTTGTGCAAAGAATAAATAGTCTTTCTTCTGGTGGTTGAGTCAAAAGATGGGAAAAGCTCTCTCTTTTTATTTTGTTCCTTTCCCTCAAATTCTGTCCCAGAATTGTAATCTGGTGTCCAACGTGTCCTAGCCAAAGAACGTGACATTCTGGCCTATTTTTTCATTTTCGTTTAACTGCGTATTTTCTTTGTCCATTTAACTCTTTGCATGTGCTATTTACTACTCATTCATTCTTTGTTTCGAATAAATATTTGAGTCCTCATTTTTACCTGGCACCATAAGGCCCTAGAGTTATCTTGGTGACCGAGGCAGATACATTTGCTCTGGCAGGGCCACTGTCTAGGAGGGGAGACGAGGTCACCAGATAGTTACATCACAGCATGGGGCAGTTTTAATGGGAGAACACAGGGCGTGTGTGATCTCAGAGAAGGGACTTGTAACTCAGCTTTGGAGGAAGTGATATGTAAACCGACACCTGAAAGATTAGTGAATGTTAAAGTAGAGAGGTCAAAAAGGGGGAAGAATGTTTCAAGGAGAGAGAAGAGCATGTGTTGAGGGTGTTGGGTGCCTGAGATCATTGCAGAAAGAAAACTCAAAATTGGTGTCATTCTCAGTCCCCAAAATCAGATTTCAAAGAAATTCTTTTCAATAGTTTGACTTCATTTCAGCTTTACCAATTCAAAAACAGAAGGACGATGCACGTTCTAGGTGTGTTTATGAACGCAAGGCAAGTCATTTGGCCCTGGAGGAGTAAGTTTGGCATTGTCTTATGTCTGCTGAGGAACTGTGTTCATCAATATCCCCGTTAACTGCTTATGGACGCCTATCTGAGCAAAGAATTGCAGATGATAAGTAATGTAGACTTCAGCTTCTCTCTGAAAAGGCCTGCTCCTGACACAGAGCAATGGACCCTCTGAGCCGAGGCATGAACAAAAGTCAAATGCAGAACGTTTATTTCTGGAAGCAGCAGCAGCTCTAGGCCTGGACTATGTGTCCTGGCTTCCTTTGGGATGTCCAGAAGTCAGAACTGAATTCTGAGCTTTTGAACATTGGCCACCCACATTTGGCCACAGACAGCTGTGGACTAACTGCTGACCAGTGACCACCCACATAGGCAGTGGGTGAGCCTGAATCTGGAATCTTGGGGAATAAACTATTGATTTTGAGCAGTGATTGTCAGCCCTGGTTCTGCCTTCCCATTTAGGCGATAATGTTCACCTGAGGGATGTACTCCTGTGAACTCACACAGATTTTGATGGTCACTCAGCTCCCTTAAAATACATTGTGGGGAAGTAAAGAGCACTGTGGTAATTCATAATGGCAAAAAGTGTTAACGGCACATCATGAGGAAATCGCTGTGGCCCATAGGTTAAAACAGTGGTTATCAGAGTCTGAACCTTGGAACAGCAGCATCAGCATCAATGAGGAACTTGTTAGGAATGCAAATTCTAAGTCCCGTTCCAGGCCTACTGAATCAGAAACTCTGGGGTGTTTTGGCAGACCCTCAAGGTGATTCTGATGCAGCTGAAGTTTGAGAACCACTGGGGTAAATAAGACAGGCTACAGGTGATGAGAAAACCCTGCGACTTACATTGATTGGCTGCCTGTGACTTCCACCCCCTTTTCTCCACTTAAGAAAGCATCTTGGAAGGCCAGTGAGTGAAAGCGATGTCATTAGGACAGCCATGAATTTATGCAAGTTTATTAAACTATGTAAACTATTGTTAACTTTGGGACTTTAATTTTTATTTATTAATAACGTGGCAAAAGTCACAACAATGGGGATACCACAATTAAATACTGAAGTTCTATGATTGTAGCCAGAACAGTGGCTTTCTTTTTTTTTTGCTACACCCTACAGTAAGAAGAAGGTTTAAATTGCTATCCAGGAGACACAACCAGAGCAAATATTTCATGAAATAACACCCTTACTATATTTTCTGTGCTGTTCTCTTAAAAGTGTGCTAGTCACAATCCATTAAATTGATCTCATGACTCACTAGTGAAATGTGACCTGCACTTGGAAAAACATGGCTGTAGTGAGCTGTCTTTGCATGGCCCCCATCTCTAGAGCAGGAGACGGGGAGGGCTGGCCTCACCTCTGTGTCAAGTGGACTTGGCTTTCAGTCTCTGTCCTGCGACTCTTAACTGTGTGACCTTGGGCACTTCACCTATGTTCTCTGAGCTTCACTTTCCTCATCTGTCACTGTGGATAATATCTACTTCACAGAGTTGTTGGGACGAGCTAATGACACCATACTTCATGCAGTGACTGGCACTGGTAGCTACAACCTTACTTGTGCACTACTATCTTACTTAGAACTATTTTTCAGTACATCATCAGTTACATACATTTTTGTGGTAACTACCACAAAGCAGTGTTTACCAAATTTTTCCCCATACTGCAACGAGTAAGTGCCCCCTGCAGTCTATGCATTCAGAAGTGTTTTTGAAGTAATTTTATCTTAAAAATGCATCCAAATTCTGCACTCTATTCCAAAATATATTCAAGCTTTGATATATATTTTGGAATACTTAATTTTGTTATAAAATTTAGTCCCCCTGCCCCAAATCCTTAAGGGCACTGAAGTTGTAGAAGATGCCCCCAGTGGCTGCATATACCCCAACCTAGCCCTGAAAATGGGCATTTGGGAAACCTAAACTTTGTGGTTGTGTTTCTGTGGGAAGAGGCTTGTTAGACTTTTCTTGAATATTCATACCTGTTGGTGATTAGGGGCAGCACCTTTGTGTATGTAGTTCTCTAAACTGTCAGATCACCCACGGACCCTGGGCATTAGCTTATGGAAGTACCACGGATTGGTCACCCATGAATCCGGATGCTGGAGAGACCCAGCTAATGTCTACTTGTCTTTCTGGAGGTCATGATTGTGGTCGGTGGCCAGGCGCCCAAGGCGATCCGCAGTGTGGAGTGCTATGATTTTGAGGAGGAGCGCTGGGACCAGATTGCTGAGCTTCCCTCCAGGAGATGCAGAGCAGGTGAGCAGCACCACCTCTCGTTTCGCAGGCTGCCTTTCCTAGCGTGTCTCTGCTTGGTGCTGAAAGTCACGCACTGCTCTTGTTTCCCCAAACATCTGTGCATTACGGACACCCTTCCTTTCCTTTCCCCACCTACCCAATTTCTACCTACACCTTCTGGGGTCAGTTCTTATATACTTAGGGACTTCAGGCTAACCAAGTATTTGCTTGAATCAAACAAATTAGAAAAACAAATATGAAAAGAAATCCAATGAGTCCCATAATGACTTCCAAATATCTGAAGTTGGAGATCACCTTTTGTGGTGAATTATTCACGCGCCTGCCTTGCTCCCCCATTGTCCCTCATCGACATGAGTAATTGGTTACCTAAGATGACCTTGATGCCTTGGTTTCCTGTCCCTCAGGTGTGGTATTCATGGCTGGCCATGTGTACGCTGTGGGTGGGTTTAATGGCTCACTGCGTGTGCGGACCGTGGACGTGTACGATGGTGTGAAGGACCAGTGGACATCCATCGCCAGCATGCAGGAGCGCCGGAGCACGCTGGGCGCCGCCGTGCTCAACGACCTGCTCTATGCCGTGGGGGGCTTTGATGGCAGTACTGGTAGGTCCTGGATGTGGTCCATGCATGCCAGCCTGGGACACATCCTCCACACAACCCTGGTTTGCTCAGTCAGTTCTTGGGCCAACCTTCTGTCCTTCTGTAACTACTGTCCCCAGGACATACCTATCCTTCCTTCTCTCCCAGCTTGGATGCCAGAGCTAGGCTTTCCTACATGTAGAGCATATAGAGTATGTAATTGCCCACGTGCTGTCATTTCTAGGACTCTAGGAAGGACCTTGCACTCAAGAAGAGGTCCTTTTCTCCTTTTCAGTGTTGGGAACCCATTTGCTCAGAAGACGAAACTTAGAAAAAGGGTGTCTTGGGACTGTAGTCTGAGTGCTCCTTTGAATAGATGAGGGAGCTGAGGTTCAGTTACAGGGAGAGACCCGGCTCAGGCCATGCAGCCTTTGTCCATTGCCATTCTATCGCCTCACTGAAGCTCTGCAAGGCTGTGCCTCTGCAGAAGTATTCCCTTGCTTCTGGCTTTTATCTAGCTTCAAAGTTGGAATCAGAAACTACTAGTGGACATGGACTTAGAGGGATGATCTCATCTCCCCTTATATCTCCAGGTGGATGTCTCTGCAGATAGTAACTCTATTAAACTAAGATGATATCCTTTGGCCCCCAGTGATGTGAAAAACAGTATTTTTTACTTCTCTGAATTTTTATTTGTGTCTTTACCAATTGATAACTTTTCCAAGCCTTCTCTTTGCCTCACTCATATAATTCCAGGGTCTCTAGTCCCTCTAAAGCCTACTTCTAGTGAGCAAGACCTGGGAATAAAGAGAACAAAGTGGTAGTGAGCCATTGTTTCTTTTAGGAATTGCTTTTGGCTGTTAGCAGAAAACCTCACTAAACTGTGGCTTAAACAAATGTGAGACTTTGTTTTACTCATGAAACAAGAAGTCCAGAGGATGGCAGTTGCTGACTTGGTCCAGTTGCTCAGGGATATTGGTACCACATTCTTTAAGAGTCTCTTGGCCTTATCCTCATGATCACAAGATGGTTGTCATGGCACCAGTGAACACGTTTGTGTTCTGTGTAGCAAGAAGCAGGAAGGAGTAGTACGTGTGTCAGAAAAGCACAGGCTATTTCAGAAATCCCTACCAGACTTCTGCTTAGGTGCATTGACTTTGTATTGGTCACCCCTAGCTTCAGGGGAGTCTGGGAGGGCAAGTTTTCTCTTTACAGCTTCTGAGATAGAGAAAGACAAGGGAAAATAGGGTTGGAATAGGTGTTCAGTGAGGCAAACTTGAGTGGTTTATTCCATTCTGTAGGTTTAGCGATTTATGTTTGCAGGGCAGTTCAGTTATCCCCTGTGCACTCACAGCCTGCCCTGAGTCAGGTCTCAGTGGTCCCCTCAAGTAGACACAGTGCAGATGTGTTTCAGGGAGGCCCCACAGGCTGCACAATGAGGTGGAGGTGGTGCTGAGGTGGAGGGGGCCAGGGTTCCGGCCCCCAGCTCTGCACTCTCTCTGCATCCTCACTGTTTCTTAGCACAGCAGGGTGAGGCCTGGCGCCATAGGACCTCACGAGTCTCTTGTCTCCCAGGCCTAGCGTCGGTGGAAGCCTACAGCTACAAGACCAACGAGTGGTTCTTCGTGGCCCCAATGAACACGCGACGGAGCAGTGTGGGTGTGGGTGTTGTGGAGGGTAAGGAGCCACTGTGGGTGGTGGCTGGTGCCCTGGCTTGTTCCTTTTGTCACTGCTCTGAGTCAGCTCCCAGTGTCCTGATGTAACAGATGAGGAAAGTTGAGACTCAGAGAGGTGAGCGAGCTATTGGGCCAAGGCTAATAAGTGAGTGAGCTGGGTTGAGGGGAGTAGGAACCTAGAGGGCAAACACCAGCCTGTCACTTTGGCTGCTTGTTGATAGCTCTGTTACGCTTGGGAAGGGGAGAAAAATGGGGTATCCAGAGTCCATATATAACCCAGGAGCATCATGTGGAAGGGTGAGAGTTAATTGTTTAATTGATTTTGTCCTCATCTTCCTGTGTTGAACATTAACAGGGTGCTGAGTGAGGTGGGCACCTCTTCCTGGGTCTGAATAGTCAGCCACTGGAGGGCATGTTGCTGGTAGAGTGCTGCTCTAGTCAGGAAAGGTGTGTGGGGTGAGGCAAGAGGGAGGGGTGAGGCCTGGAGCCTGGCTAGACAGTTTCTAAATGTCTTTTACATTCAATTTCTCATTTTGATCCCACAACCCTTCTGAAGGAGATAGGCGGGATTTAGATTTTCTCCATTCTCCGGAAGGGGAAACTGAGTCCCAGAGGAGTAAGTGATGTGTCTCTCATTAGTAAATAGCACAGCCAGTCCTTGAACCCAGGTCTTCTGACTCTTAACCCAGTGCTCTTTCCACTGTGCTACACTCCTTAGACCATTAGGAAGTGCTAATAGGGAGGAATTGTATAAATATGAGTGAATTCAGCAGATTTAAGCATAGAGTATTATTTGGACTAAAACATTATACTTGTAGGACAACACTGATTCGTTAACCTGTCCTGCAGTGTTAATTTCACTGGAATACCTGTGTAGACGTGTACACAGACATTCTCTCTCTCTCACGTGTGCACACCAGAACACACACACGTGCTTCGGGGAGAGTGTAGCATGCAGTGAGTTAGACATTAATGGAAAGATTCTTTTCTCTCACCGAATCTCCCAATCTGTACTAGTATTGTGTAGTTTAAAATGTCATTTAAAAGTATGTTATTCTCACACACTGTACCAGTCATCTCAGCGAGGGCAAGGATTTTGTCCTCCTACCAAGATCAATTGTTTCTTGCAATCTCATCCTCCTGGTGGAACAGAAATTGATTTGTCTGCCAAATATAAGTGCTTTGTCTAGCCACCTTTCCATTTCCCGCCTTGTTCCTTAGCCAGGAATATCAGACAATAGAGTAGGGGTTAAAAATAGCAGATCCCTGTTAATACACTCAAGGAGAGACCTTGAGTGGGTATTTTTCCGCTGACGCAGGGTTGGAACAGTCGGTGGGGTTAGAGGAGGTGCCTTCACGGTAGTGATTTGAAATACTCCCCTCGACAGAGGCTTCTGTGAGCATGCTCTGTCGGTGGAGGAAGTGCTGTGTGGAGCATGCGCTGTGGACGCAGAGGACAGACTGGGAATTTGTTTGTCTTGTCCACCCTGACGTTGAAGCTGTTTCGGCTGTGGGTCATCCTGGGGCGGGAGAGAGTCCAGTGTACAGCTTTGACGAGGACGTTGAGGGAGAATCTTATGTGGACTCTGCTTCACCGTGGCCTTGTGGATATAGCTCCCCACATTGTCTCCACAGTACTCTCCTCCCTCCCGTCCTCTCCTTACTGTGGCTGTGTAGTCTGAATGACACTGGAAAAAAAAAAGTGAAAATCGGGATCGTTTGCTGCTGGCTGCCTGGAAGAATCCCTGCTTTGGGAAGGGGACAGTGAGGCTTGGAGATTGGGCAGAAGCTCCCAACAGAGTGGAGGTGGTGTGTGACGGAGAATAAGGTTTTCAGTTGACTGGGGTTGCCCTTAGGAGCTTCTCGTCTCCTCCCCGAGTGGTGTAGGCTTTGACAAGGGGTGGGCAGCCAGGTGGACACGTTGTTGCATCCGAGCCAGCACACACCATGAGAGTGACCTGTACCCCGGAGGAGCTGCCGAGTCGGGATTTTCCCCTCTGGCTTGGGTAGGGGGAGAATCAGGGAGCAGGCACCCATTTCTTTTAGAAGGGCCAGTTGACAGGACTGTGGGGCAGAAAACAAAACCAGGCTCAATAATAGAAGAAGAAATATTTTTACCTTTGATGTGACAGTAGTCCTGATGGTAGAGCACAGTTTTGAGCCTGAGAATCTCTTTCTAACTAAAAATAATTGCAGATTTTCACATACTAATTGTACTCTTGGTATTGCTCCATTAAGAAAGCACATATTGACAAAAAAAATCTTTTGATTAAGTGACTCTGTTGAGTAGATTTGCATTTGCATCTGGCAGTGTTTATTTAGTCTGCAGCTAGTGTTTAAGATCCTTGTTATAACTCCATGGTTCCCCAGAGGTCTGAGGCCCACAGGGGAGGTAGGACTCCCCCTGCCACACATGCACGCGCACACACACACACATACACACATATGCACATACACACACACACTGTCACATACACAGTGAAGAAACCCTCCTACTGTATTCTAAGACTACATATTAAACCCAAAATGTTTGAATCTCTTCTCTGGGAGAGCTCAAATACCAATTTCCTGCCCCTTTGCCCAACCTCACCCCTAACTCCAAGCAGAAATGATGCTCTTAGATAACAGCTTATGATATTCCTATTTTAAAAATAGGTGATGCTGCTTCAGGGTCCTTGTGCATAGCTCAGAGGTCACAAAGGATTCTGCAGATAAATTCTGGTCACCCCAGCCAAGAGTGCACACAGGGCACTCCCACCACACACTCCACCTGCCAGAGTTGTGGCTGGAGGATGAACCATGGCTAAGACAGGGTTTGGGTACACGTTGAAGAATATTTTTCCATATTTGTTCTATCTGCTATTGTGAGCCTTTAGCCAGAAAATTGGCCTGCCTGCCTGTATCTGGGGCCCTGTAGCTTTCCATCTCTTTGGTGCCTTGTTCTGGAGAAGACCTAACACCGTTCACCAGCAAGAACACATTGAGCCCCAGTGATGCTAGGCCGTAGCTTCGCACTGGGTATTTGGAGCGCTTATTTAGAAAGAGGTTCAGTACTGCTTCAAGGAGCTTGGGGCTTAAGAGGAAGTAGAAGGCAGAGATGTGAAGGATGCTTATCCTGGTTGGGGAGTAAGTCAGTAGTCCCTCTGGAGGGATGGGGCCCTGAACTCTGGTGGAGGTGAGGGTGCCCCGCTGGGTTAAAGATGGAGTTTCAGCTGTTCTCTGGCTCCATGCCAGCGTCCTCAGCACCGCTCTCTCAGCCTCTTTGTCTGTTCCAGGGAAGCTGTATGCTGTCGGGGGTTATGATGGGGCTTCCCGCCAGTGCCTGAGCACTGTGGAGCAGTACAACCCAGCGACCAATGAGTGGACGTATGTGGCAGACATGAGCACCCGCCGCAGTGGCGCAGGTACGGGGGGAGCCTCAGGGTGCAGGCTACGTGGGATTTGCTCACAGGTAGATGTGGAGACCAACAGCTTAACATTATTCTACCTCCGTCTTCTCTCCTTTTAATGCATATAATCCCACTAGCATCTTTGCAGCTTGACACAGACCCTTGTAACTTAACCTTTCCCTGGGGATCACTTTGCTAGAAAATGGATGAGATAATATTCTCTTCATCATCATCCCTTCTGTTTCTGTGGAGGTGTCTGCAGCTCTTGAAAGTAAAGCCTTGCTATGTGCCGAGCCCTGTCCTAATAAGCACTGTCTATGCCTCAATTTATTAATCCTCGCCACAGCCCTAAAGGGTAGACACAATATTAATTTCACTCAACAGGTTTAGGAGGTAAGTCGACCAGGAGTTGAGTGATTTGCCCAGGGTCCTATCATTAGTAAATGGCACAGTCAGGATTCATTAGTAAATGGCACAGGCAGGCTTCATTAGTAAATGGCACAGTCAGGATTCCTGCTAAGGTCTGTCTCACTTCAAAGTTAGCTTTTTGACCCACAAATTATTAGAATCTCATTCTCAGAAGTAGTAAGACAAGCATGCTCTCCCAGTCTTCAGTGGAAAAAGCTTTAGCTTTTTTAGCTTGCCTGTCTTGGGGCTGGAAAGCCAAGCTATTAGTGTTCACATTTGGAGATAAACTTATGTCTTCCCCTGCACCCCAACTTTCCCCACTTCAATCCCCTCCCCTACATGGGAAGAGAATGACCTCCCAAATGTGGGTCACTTCCGCTTCCTGTGGGAAGACTAGGAGCTGTGTGGTCCTTTGGGATTTTCCAGGAAGTGGAGCAACAGCCTCTTCTTCCCTGCTTTGTCTTCCCCCATCATCTTACAGGCCCAAGGGAAGGGGTCTGGAAAGACAGATGGGGGCAGTGGGCAGGTGGGGAGTGGTGACCGATGACCACCCTGGGCCTGGCGGGAAGGCTTTGTGACTCCTGGGAAGGGAAGCCACAATTGGGAGTTTTTCCCCCACAGTGCTTTTCCTTTCTCTTTTTTTATATTTTTGAAGATTGAGTTGTGATCTCATTTTACAGTACCAAACACATGACCACTTCCTCAGCATTCCTTAAAAATTATGCTATTTTAATACTTTTCAAGAACCTGTGTGCTCCCACTGGTTAGAAAAGAAAAAACTATATTATTCCATCTAAGAGACATTTATGTTTGGCACGCTGTTTTTAGGGAGCTTGTCTCTGCTGATCCTGACCAGTTGGCCCTTCTGAACATGGAGCAGGTGCCTGGAAGTCAGGAGGTCTGAGCTTTGGTGCTGGGTCTGCTTGAACTTGCCGTGTGATGTTGGACAAGTCTCTTCCCCCTTTCTGGCCTCTGATTCCTCAGGCATGAAATGAGTGGGTTGCAGTAGATGTTCCTGAGGGACCAATTCAATTCACACATCCCATGGTTCTTCTCCCTTCATGGAGCTCTTTTGGTAGTTTTGGTTTATAGTGTCTTGATAGAGTCTTCTTTGTCCTCCCTAGAAACCCTCTATGTGACTTGAGGTGTGAGAGCAAGTTCAGAGCTCAAGGATGTGGGGCCAGCTGCGCAGGAGTGCAGCAGCACTGAGATGTGTGGCTGCTTCCAGGAGCGTCTCAAGCAGAGGGTGTGGAGGGGCAGCCCCACGTGGAGCTATGTGCGCAGAGCTGCCTCAGGAAGTGCAGGCTCCTCTTGGATGGGGCTGAGGCTATGCTGCTCTGTGTCTGCCAGGCTGCCCAGGGGTTGTTGCTGAGTGGAGACACTCGGCCCTGCTCCTGCCTCTCAGCTGGGCTGGAGGTCCTGGATGGTGACACATCTACTGCCTGTGTCCCGGGGAGGCACCGTGACCTCGATTCAGGGGACCATCTCTCTCCAGAGGTGGATTCTTTCCTCAGGTTACTATCAGAGCCCTGGCCTCAGGCTCCCAGGTTAGCCTTTGTTTGGTGCTTCATGTCCCTAAGATCTGGGGAAGCCTCACCTTTGGAGATGGGGACCCACATACTTGTCAAGGTGGGTGTTCTTTAGTGGCTGAAGACCCTGTGGCTCTGGGTCCAGGAAACCTCTGGGTGACCATTTGCAGAAGAGGCTGCAAAAGGCCACTGGTGCCCCTGAGTGCCTGGGAGGCTGCTTGCCTCCACAGCAGGGTGTGGGCAGTGCCAGCAGATGGTGGTGAGGAAAGGAGGCCATCTCTGGGTCCCAGCGTGTGCACAGGGGAGGGGAGGGTGAGGCAGCTTTGGAACACACTGAATTTTATTAAACCCAAGCCCATTAGGTAGCAATTGTTGACGCAACACCACCATCTGCTGTTAGTTCAGGGCAACTGCGAGGAACCACCAGCACACCCACATAACTGTGTGGGATTTCACTTAGTTTGTCATTCAGACAATGTTTGTTGAGAACCCACTACCCACCATCAGGCAACAGGGAAACAGACGTGATAAGACAGACATGGTCCTTGTCCATATGAAGTTTATATTCCAGACATCCAGTCCTTGGGTCTGAAACCTGGCTGCACGTCCTAACACCTGAGGTACTTTTTCTGATTCCTCAGCGGTGTCTCTGGGAGTGAGGCCCTGGAATCTATCTTTTCAACATCTCCCCAGCGGATTGAGATGCAGCCTGTCCGTGGAGTGGAGTAGTCCATGGTCCACTGGAACCACGGGTCTAGTCCACTGCCTCAGTTTACAAATGGGAACAGTGAGGCCCAGCAAGGGGAAGGTTCACCAGGCGGGCACGTTAGAGACACAGGTCCAGAAACCAGGTGACCCGCCATCTGGTCAGTTGTTCTTTCTAGGGGACTGTGCCACCCTCCTTCATCCTGGCTTTGATTTCCTTGGCTTGTGTTAAAGGATTTTAAAAGGTTGCACCGGAACTGGTAAATGATGCAGTCCTAGCAGTCGGCTCAGGCCCACGAACATGGTGAGTGGTTGAATGTCCCCTGCCATCTAGGAGGAGAGCATGCGGGCAGAGAGCAGCTTCCGCTTCAGGACAAGCAGGGGTAATGACCCCAGCGCACCTGCCGGGGGCCTAGCTCCATTTTTCACTCTTTTTACTCAATGAATACGAGGCTGAGGAATAAAAGTAATACAACATTGTAGGAAAACGCGACGAGGTAGAGAGTCAGACGGAGGACAAATGTAATTTTACCACCCGGAAATAACTAGTCTTGGTTCTGGTGGATTTCTTTCAGTCTTTTTTCTTTTGCATATAAACCCTCTCTCCCCATTTTGTACATACATATCTATTATATATTAGATATGTATTACATATCTATTATATCTACTTCATATCTTATTCATATTATATATGTGTTTCTTTAAATAGAAATGGGGTCCTGTTTGCTTTATATTTCGAGGTTTTCAGGTTGACAGTCTTGTGAGGTGGGCAGGGTGTCATTGTATTTGTCTTAAGATGAGGACACTGAGGTCCAGGGAGACAAAGCAGCACTCCCCATGTACCCCTGCTGGTGATGGCTGTCCAGGACTGGACACCAGGCCTCCTGGTTTCTGGTCACTGTAGCCAGCCTGAGGCTGGTTCACTGTGCTCTGCCTTTCAGGGGTTGGGGTCCTCAGCGGACAGCTGTATGCCACAGGTGGGCACGACGGGCCCCTGGTGAGGAAGAGCGTTGAGGTTTACGATCCTGGGACAAACACCTGGAAGCAGGTGGCTGACATGAACATGTGCCGGCGCAATGCAGGTAACGTGCTGTTCTCTCCTTCTCCCCTTGGGGGCCGTGGGCCTTTCTCTTTGCAAACGCCAGCTCTAAAGGAGAGGCAGAGGGGAGAGACTCCCAGAGCCTGGGCCTCAGCTTTCGTCCTGAATAGGGAGTGTCCATTTTCCGAGCAGGCTCTAGGCTAAGGGAGGGGAGAGCTTGGAACCCCAAGAGCTAGCCCTAGGGGCCCCCACTTAGGTGCAGATGGTTCCTTCCCTCCCAGTGAAGGATGGTGACTTTCACTGTGCACACATGGACACAGACCCAGAAAAGCCCTCTGGTTGCCATCCGTGTCACCTGCCCATGGCTTTGTTGGGCAGCTAAGCACAGGGCTATGTGGACATGGCCAGACAATGACACTTGTTTCTATCCTTTCTTTGCCAGTGCCTGGCTGTGCAAGCCTCTCCCTTCCCACCTGAGCCAATCTCCCTCCTTTTAGGGGTAGCCAGGTCCCTGCTTCACTCTCCCGCGGGAGCATGTCCCTTATTCCTCTCTTTGTACTTCCTGTTTCTCCTTCTCTTCCCCTTTCCCTTCCTGTAGGAATGATTTACCTTAGAGTGGTTAGGTTTTTATTCCTGGAACCTGATACCCCTATTAAGCGATTTCCTTTTAGGACTTTGTCCTGTGGGTCACATCCTGTGTTGGAATATCTTACTTTATGCCTAATTACTCTATGAAAGTGTTGGCTTAGCCCAACTTCCCAGGCTGGAAAGACAAACAGGTGACTTTCAGGCAGATTTATTTCCTTTATACTCAAATTACCTGTTTACTAAACCCATTTGTAGCTGACTTGTTGAAAGTGTAAACAGAGGGGCGTTTATTAATTTGCTCATTGCCTAAGCCTGCTGTGATATAACTTGGCATTTGGCCTTAAGCCACATGAGCAAGGAGTTACAGAACCCTCAAGACAGCTGGTCTATCTAGAGTTCGAGAATTAGGTTCAGGTGTAAATGTGTGTATTTATACACGTTCACATATAGATTATTTTTATTTTTATTTTTTTTGAGGAAGATTAGCCCTGAGCTAACATTTGCTGCCAATCCTCCTCTTTTTGTTGAGGAAGATTGGCCCTGAGCTAACATCCATGCCCATCTTCCTCCACGTTTTAAATGTGGGATGCCTGACCCAGCATGGCTTGCCAAGCGGCGCCATGTTCGCACCCGGGATCCGAACAGGCGAAACCCGGACCACTGAAGCGGAATGTGCTCCCTTAACCACCGCACCACCGGGTCGGCCCTATTTTTATAACAAAAATGGAATCACACTGTCATACTGTTTTATCATCTGCCTTTTTAATCTACTTTACAATCTCTCATGAATGTCTTATTATAACACTAAATATATTTACATATTATTTTCAATGGCTAATCATAGTTTAAATAACAAATCTACTATTGGACATTTAGGTTATTTCCATCTTTCCTATAAGTAATGCTTTGGTTATTATAACTGGTCCTTATAGTTAATCAGTGCACGCATCTAAAATTATTTCTTTAGAGTAAAAGGCCAGAAGTGGAATTTTTGAGTCAGAGAGAGCACATGTGCTTTTGACACCATCCAGGAAAGGGGTGCCTTTTATACTCTCACTATTTAATCATCTTCAAGCCTTTAATGTAATTTTGAAAAGATACACAGCATATTGGATTATGGCCTTTTTAAAATTTTGATGAGCAATAATTACATTTTCCTACTCTTGAGTCCCTGCTGCATGAGGCCTTGCCCCAAAACCAGCTCACTGAGATCAGGGTGGGAGGAGTGCCTCGTCCCTGGGCTTTGTGTGTGGGATTAGACCCCAGTCATATAAAGGGATCACAGCTACAACCATTAGCGCCATACAGTATGGATATAACAGGGTTTGTCAGGGAGAAACGTCCAAGCAGAGTGGGAGTAGCGTGCATAAAGTCCCCTGAATTGTCTGATTCCGTAGCTCAGGCTGGATATGGGGAGTCTGCATGGACTGTGGGCATGCTCTGGTAGAGAGGGGCCCGTCCATAATGCTCTACGTATTTATAGGGTCGGGGCAGGGAGCATCTGTGGGGCCATGTAGCAGTGAAAGCTCCCTGGTCAGAGCAGTGACTTTGTTAGAAACGGGGATCCTCGGAGCCCAGTGGCTGCTGTCAGTGTGTTCCTCTGTTGAGCAAACTCTCATGGAGCCGATTCTCTGCTACCACGAAGGGGAGGGAAACGAGCCTCTGGGGTAATCCAGATTTCTCCCTCCTCCACCTGATCCCTTGTGCTCCTGCTATAATGTCTCCTATGGCTTCTGTTCGATTTCCAGGGGTCTGTGCAGTGAATGGGCTCCTGTATGTGGTTGGAGGGGATGATGGATCCTGCAACTTGGCTTCAGTGGAGTACTACAATCCCGTCACTGACAAGTGGACGCTGCTGCCAACAAACATGAGCACGGGGCGGAGCTACGCAGGTCAGTGTGCTCCATCCCGACCCATGGAGGCCCTGGGTGGGTTCGCTGGGGGAAAGCTTGCTTAACTTGGGACTGAGTACCTCCTCCAGGGATGGCAGATAACTGTCAGATGTCACCACTCCTTCATTCTGTGCCCATGACAGATACCCATAATTAGCACTTGTTTCCCCAGTGAACCTGAATGCAGCCTCTGAATTCTTCTTTTTTCTTTTTCTTTTTTTTTTTTTTTGAGGAAGATTAACCCTGAGCTAACTGCTGCCAGTCCTCCTCTTTTTGCTGAGGAAGCCTGGCCCTGAGCTAACATTCGTGCCCATCTTCTTCTACTTTATCTGTGGGACGCCTACCACAGCATGGCGTGCCAAGTTCCGAACTGGCGAACCCCGGGCTACCGAGAAGCGGAATGTGCAAACGTAACCACTGCGCCACCGGGCCGGCCCCTGCATTCTTCTTAACAGGGAGTCTCTTCCAGCAAATTTGAGTTGTCATAGAAGGCTTTAGAATTTCATTGCCATTCCTGGTCTGTTTTTTTGCTGGGCTTGGAGATAGAGTAAGATACAGTTCTTGCTTTCCAGAACTTAACTTGGAAAGATAAGACCTGCATACACAAAACAGGAAATGCAAGATGATGTATGCTTAAGTTCTAAGTGGCACTCACTGTACAGGCTTTAGGACATGACAGGTGAGAACTGGCAGAGTCAGGGAACGCCTCCTGGAGGAGATGGGGCTTGATTAAACTTGAGGTGTGTTGCAGTCACGCAGATAGCTGTCCTTTGCTGGTACCCCTTCTGTGAGCCATGGGGCAGTGTGTTAGGTACATCATATATGGACTGGGACTGCACCCTTCCATGTTCCAGATGATGAAACTGAGGTTTGGAGAGTTTAAGTAACCTGCCCAAGGCCGCACAACTAAAACACGGCAGAGTCAGAATTCAAACCCAGGTCTGACTCCTAAGCCCATTCTCTTTGGACTGCTGCAGCTCAGGGTTAGAGATAAAGCATTCCAGGCAAGAGGCTGGAGGGAGGAGTAAGGCGTGAGGCTGCTGTAGAGGCTTGTTCTTGGGGAATGTGTGTGATGGGATTGGTGAGGTGCTGGGAATGGGATCAAAGTTGGTGCTGCTGAGGTCGGGGGTCTGTAGGGATATAAGCAAGCCTATATATCCACGATGTAGCCCAGCTCCTTGTATCTGGTTTTCCAGAAACTGGACTAGTTAGAGCTAACATTTATTTATTGAGTACATACAATGTGCCAGGCATTATCTTAAGTATTTTACAACCATTATCTCATTCAATCTACACCAGGACTCCAATGGTATTCTTGTTCCCATTTTGTATTAGAAAGGTGAATCATTGCATCCTGTTTGAATGTCAGTGTGAAGGAAAATTGTGCCTTGCAGGCTCAAAGGAGTTTGTATCCTATTCTCTCAACACAAGGCTTCAATTGCAATGAACTTATTTCACTTTTTTCCCCTCATTTAGGATTTTTCTTGAGTAAATATAAAAGATTTTAGAGGCGTTTTGGTCCTAGAATGATTCTGTTCTCATGGTTAATTATTAAATAACCCAGCACTATCATTTTCTTTTCGAAGCTGTAGTGGGAAGTACAGGGCATTTTCTAGTACAAGGCCGTGAGGCCAGTGAGGGATCCCTGGCTCCACACCTGCCTTCAGGATAGGGGAAGGCTCAGGGGTGAGAGGTTAGAATTTGATTTATGGCCTGAATATTTCATGCCCATTTCTTCATGTCTGCCCACTCCAGAAGTAGGTGGGAAGGAGACAAGGAGATGTGCAATTTGTGTTCAGATCCATTGACTGAGTGAATCTGTTATCTTAGAATCTAAGGAAATGTCCTGAAACCCGAAGATTTAGGACAAAGTTATTTAATGGAGCATTATTTATCATAGCAAAAAACTGAGACCTACTTAATGAGGGAAATGCTTACATAAATTGTGGAGAAATTACACAGTGGAAGTCTTTTTAATGTCATGAGAAAATGTTTGTGATGGACTGAGGTTAAAAAAGGAGGATGCAGAGTGCATGTGCCGCGAGAGCTCAGTCAGGTAGCTGCATCACGGGGGTTTGACGCGCTGCTGCTGAAGGAAGTGGATGTGGGAGTTAGATCTGACGTTGCATCCCAGCTCTGCCACTGGCCCTGGGATGTGGGGCAAGGTGACCATAGGACCGAACCTGTTTTCTCATTTGTAAAATGAGAATAAAATTATCCTAAGCTTCTTCGGGCTGTTCTCAGAATGAATTGCAATAATAGTTGGAATGCGCTTAGCACAATGCCTGCTTGGCACATAGAAACCACTCGGTAAATGATCATGACTATTATTAGAAGCCAGGAAAAATTCCAAAAAGATAATCGTGATCCTCTTTGCATGAAGGGATTAAAGTTTTTTTCTTTGTGTTCTGCGTTTTCCAAATTTTCCATAATGAGAATATTTTACTTTTATAATCAAAAGAGAAAGCTTATATAAAAAAGCAATACAGGAACCTGCTTTTAAAAAAATACTACTTTGTGAAAGAGAAGCGTGGGGTGCAGACAAGATGTCCTCAAGGTCAGGCAGTACGTCTGGGGCTGAGAACTCAGGTTCTGCCCGCCTCTGAGCTTTTATGTCTGCACCTTTATTCAGGAATAAGCATGAAATGAATGTCTTAGCAGAATCTCACTGTAGGGTATCCTGGGGTTTCTTTGAGCAATGTTCTCTCAATCTCGTCTTCAACCAGAAGATTTTATAGTCATGGGAATATGTTAAAATAAGGTTCTAGTTACACCTTACCTGTAGGGCTTACTTGTAAGTTAGGATTTTCTTCAGCTGTGGATACCAGAAAAACAGACAGATATTTGCTTAAATAAGGAAGGAGTGTGTTTGTCTCAGGCAGAAAGAAATCCATGGCTGGTCTAGTGGCTCAGACTGTCATTGAAGAATCAGGTCTCTTTTCTCTTTTCTGTTCTGCCAACTTTATCAACAGCTGCTGCTTCCCCTTGGGCCTTGCATGAGCATTCCAGGCAGGACAAGGGACAAAGCCCAAACTGTAGCACTGGCAGGCTGGCATCATTTTCATGGGGGCCAGGACTGGGTCACATGGCACTTCCAGCTGCAAGGTGGGGAAGCTGAACTCATAATTTACCAGTCTCTATTAATAGAGGATAAGTAGAAGGAAGTTGGCTAAATCAGCCTACAGTATCTGTCATATCTCAGTATATTACAGTGAGATTTTAGAGTCATACACGGATTCACAAAGTTTGCTATTGAGTATGGTTCATCTTGGCTAACATGGTAACACATACAGACATGTATGGAGTGTTCCATCCCTTTCCTCTTTCCCTTCTGAGTTATTATTGTCACAAATTATTCTTTTCTGTGTTGTTAGTTTGTGACTAAATTGAAATGTTTATAGTTATTTATTTTTTATTTTTTTAAAATTGGCATCTGAGCTAACAACTGTTGCCAATCTTTTTTTTTTCTGCTTTTTTTCTCCCCAAATCCCCCCAGCACATAGTTGTGTATTTTTAGTTGTGGGTCCTTCTAGTTGTGGCATGTGGGACGCTGCCTCAATGTGACCTGAGAAGCGGTGCCATGTCCGTGCCCAGGAACTGAACCAGTGAAACCCTGGGCCACCGAAGCGGAGTGCATGAACTTAACTACTGGGCCATGGGGCCAGCCCCTAAATTGAAATGTTTATAGTTATTTTCGATGCTTTCCTTCCCTTTGTCTTTTATGTTATAATTAAGTGTTTACTGACCTATTCTGATATAGATCTGCAGTTTTCTGATTCTGTCTATTTATCTCCTTGCTCAAGGTTTTATAAACCTTCGCCTTTTTGTTACAGGTAGGAGGGCTTCCTTCATTGTTTCTTGTAAGGCAGGTCCAGTGATGGTGAACTCCCTCAGCTTTTGTTTATCTGGGAAAGCTTTTATTTCTCCATCATATCTGAAGGATAGTTTCGCTGGATATTCTTGGCTGAAAGTTTTTGTCTTTCAGTATTTTGAATATATCGTTCCATTCTCTCCTAGTCTGTAAGGTTTCTGCTGAGAAATCCTCAGAAAGCCAGATAGGGATTTCTTTGTAGGTTTTCTTCTTCTCCCTTGCTGCCATTAATACTTTTGCTTTATCATTGGCTTTTGCCAGTTTTAATAGTCTGTGCTTTGGAGAAGGTCTTTTTGCATCTGTGTAATTAGGGGTTCTACTGGCTTTATGTGCTTGTAACTCCAGCTCCTTCCCCAGGTTTGGGAAGTTCTCAGCTATTATTTCTTTGAACAAGCTCTTTGCTCCTTTCTCCCTCTGGAATACCTATAATCCTTACGTTGCTTTTCCTAATTGAGTTGAATGTCTCTCAAAGAATTTCTTCATTTAAAAAAAACTCTTATTTCTCTTTCCTCCACCTTAAGCATTTCTAGATTTCTATACTCTAAATCACTAATTCTGTTCTTCCATAGAATCTGCTCTATTTTTTACGGATTCTAGATTATTTTTTATCTAATTCATTGTCTTCTTCATCTCCAGAGTTTGTTTGTCTTTTTTTTTTTTAAGAGTTTCAATCTCTTTGGTGAAATAGCCCTTCTGCTCATTAATTTTATTCCTGAGCTCATTGAACTGTCTTCCTGAGTTTGCTTGTAACTTGTTGAGTTTCTTTATGATAACTGTTTTGAATTCTCTGTCATTTAGATTGTAAATTTCTGTGAGTTCAGGATTGGTTTCTGGAGACTTGTCATTTTCCTTCTGCTCTGAAGTGTTACTGTAGCCTTCATGGAGTTTGATGAAGTGGTCCTTTGCTGCTTCATTTGTGGTAGTATGAAGTTGCAGATTCCACCTCCCACTGCTGGAGGGTGGGCAGGAGCTGTGTTTTCTGATCTCACTTCATCTGCTGGAAGTTGTGCTGGTAGGGCTGTTCTGCATTCCCCTGGACTGGCTGCAGCTGCTCTGCAGGTTGTGCTCATGTGGGCAGGGCCTCTGCAATGGGCAGGTGGGTTGGGCATCATAGGTGGGGCCTCTGTGCTCAGCAGGGGGCTGGCTGAGCTGCTGGGTGCCAGGCGGGAGGGGCAGTCATGCAGGGGCTGAGCTGCCACTCAGTGGGTCCCTCAGGCTGCTGTGCTCCACAAGTGGGGTGCCTTCTGAGTAGGTGGGGAGCCTTCTTGCCTGCGCTGCACTAAAGGTGAGGGGCACCCATGTTGGGGCTGAGCTGCCACTTGGTGGGTCCCTCAGGCTGCTGTGCTCCACGAGTGGCATGCCTTCTGAGTGAGTGGGATGCCTTCTTGTCTGTGCTGCACTAAGGCCAAGAGGTGCCCATGTCGGGGCTGACCCACCACTCAGTGGGTTCCTCAGGCTGCTGTCTCCATGGGTGGGGGTGCCTTCTGAGCAGGCAGGGCACCTTCTTGCCTGTGCTGCACTGGGGTGAGGGGCACTCACACGGTGGCTAAGCCACCACCGATTGGTGCAGAGCAATCCTGTGGATGGGCTGCAACTCTGCAAGCATTTGCACAGGCCGGGCTTTCCCTGCCTCCTCCTACAGTTGTGCGCAGCTGCTGTGTAAGGACCCACAAACTGGCTCACTGCCCCTGGGGTTGGGAAGGGTGCAGTTACTTAGTTCTACTGCCTCCCAAGGATCCAGTCTACCTGCCTTCAGACGTATAGCTGTGTGGGCCTCTTGGAAGTCCTGCTGTGCTGTGCGGGGAGTCCTCTGCTGGTTAATGATTGTCCATTTAGGTGTAACTTAAAGGGGAGAGACTGAGAGAACAACTCACTCCACTGTGATGCTGACATCGCTCCTCTGGAGTGTTTATCCAAGTATAGAATTTAGCACCGGAGGGTTCTTTCAGTTAGATGACGTTGACTATTATGGGAACTGAACCTAAAGAGATAAATGGACTTGTCTGAGGCCACAGTGCAGCTTGACTGGTGGCAGAAGTAAGATGGGAATTCAGTTTTTCTTACTTCCATGAAGTCAGTCCACTGTTCTTTCCAGGTCGTTTTAGTGTCTTCTAAAAGTAGACGTGAATAACTCATCACTTTCTCTGAAAATGATACAAATGCAGAGCTGTGGAGCTCCCTCTGGGTTTTCACTGAGGGTGCTGAGCGTCGTTAAGCTGAGTGCTGGGGTTGGGAAGGGGAGTGGTTACAATACGAGGTGAGTCCATGTGATGATGTGGGGTGAGACACTAACCTGGTGTTGATGGGCTCACATATGTTCATGGGCTCACATATCTTGTGGGGGACTTGGCTGTTCGAGTGAGAAACAGCCATCTGCTGGCAGCCTGAGTCCAGAGGCCCTTCAATATTTGGATACAAATTGTGCCCATTTCCCTTGGCCGTGGCTTGGGCTGTCTTGGATTCATGAACTCCTTGGGACTCTGAATAACTGGAGAAGCTAAGATGATAACTTTCTCCCCCTTTCATTGTAGGTGTTGCTGTAATTCACAAGCCCTTGTGACCCCAACTCCCACTGCCAGGATGTGGAGGAAGGGAGGGGTGCTGCCTGTGACTCAGAACAGTGGGACCACGACTGCTGGATGCCACTCGCTGCAAGAGTCTGCAGTGGAGCGAGAGCCACCCTCCTCTGACTTGGCAGAGTGGCGAGCTGGTGGAACACCGGTGACCCATCTCCTGCTCCCTGAGGTGTTTTGGCCTTTGCCTTGAGCAGTGGGCTCCTGATAGCTCCAGGTGTCACCTTTGGGCTTTTTTGTGTTTCTACAGGGACAGTGTGTGTATATGTGTGTTTGTGGGGGTGTGTGTGTGTGTGTGTCTGTGTGTAGAACATGGTGTTTCACTGAGTTGGGGGTGTGTGAAAATCTACTGGATTTCTTTACTACTGATCCTTCCCCTATGCTAAAAATCAAATCACAGAAACCTCTCTTCTGGATTCGCCCATTGGGCCCCCGAGACTACTAAAGCTGCTGTCTGCTGGAGGTCATGCTGGACAGCGAATGTCCAGAAATAACTAGCTAGAGGGGCAGTGCTTTGACCATGCCCACACACTGGCCTGACTACTGGCGCTGTCTGCAGAGGAGCTGGCATGCTCAGAGCTGCACCGTGTCCTTTGTGCGTCAGAACTAGGAGCAAAGGGTCCCCAACTCCCCTGCCAGGTGCTTTTCCTTGGGCTCTCCTCTGGGAAGCAGAAGAGAGCTGCCCAGTCTTTAGGCCACTGGTCTTTGATGTCATGGATTCCAGGTTTGGGAGATTTTGTGTCTTTCAGCAGGAAAACTAGCTTTTCATAGAAGCCATGACTAACACACTGGAGAAAAAGATATACATGAAAAACAAAAACAAAACCCAAAGTCTCTGCCCATAATCATCTCAGAGAGGATCCTACCTCTGGGTTTCCCGGGATAGGACAGTCCCCATTTACACTTATAGTCCAAGCTTAATTATTCACAGCATCCCATTTTACCCTCGAAAGTGTTCTGGTTCAAAGGATGAGTAAAAGGTCACCCTACCTCCAAATCCAAAGCTGGGTTTGTCTCTGCATTGGATGGGGTCATGTGTGATTTGGATGGACATGGATGCCTTCAAAGGAGTATGCTTGCTGGGGCTGGCCCTCAGCGCTTTGTGATGATGGTCATGTCTGTCTGATATCCTTTCCTTGTGCTCTCCCCCATTCCAGGGCATGTACCCTCTCTCCAACCCTCTGAACACCCGCCTCCTCCTTGCTTCCCCTGTTAGGGGAGGAGATGGTGGTAGGCCTTGGATGTGTGATCTCTCTGAGGGGTACTTGCATTTTAAGAGAGGAGCTTGATGAGAGCTTTGCTAATTCACAGGTAAAATTATTAATGACAGAACTTCAAGCATCTGGAGGCGGGTATTCAAGGGCACATGGAGTCATTTGTATTTTAAAAAAATAACCTTAAAGCTGTGCTCTTTCTAAACTAGCAAGTTGCTTATGTTGGAATTTCTGGCATAAGGAGGGGAAGTCTTGTGTCTCGAGAACAGTCCTCCCACTTTGGGGGCTGGGGTTTGACCCTCCATGATGCCAAGGTCCACCTGCAGGGAGGTGGGGGCCTTTATAGACCCTGATGTTGAACTTTTGACACAATTGGGCTACTTCAAAGCAGATATTGCAGGAGATTAGTGTTCCCCCACCCCCCTGCCACGACCCCAACCAAAACCCAGGGCCCTCCCTGGCTAGTCGGCCACTTTGTGTATTTACTGTATGTTTATTGTGCACTAAACACTCAACTCTCCTGAAGAGGGAACTTCTCCTTCTGATGTTGAGCAGGTGTTATTTCAGCGAGACATCTGGAGAGCACCAAGGCACCCAGAATTTTTAGTAGCCTTGGGAAGAGACTAAAATATCCAGCTTCGGTGGAGCTGGAAGAAATGTCTCCAAAGGAATCAGCCATGCTTTTAGTTGGGTGCTCTGTCTCACCCAGCACTGGGGATGCCTGTGTTTTCAGAGCTCTGCCTGGCTCTGGATCGGAGGCTGATGGAATGAGCTTTTTGTTCCAAATGTTCTTCCTCCCTCTCTGAGGAAGGTTTGGGACTTTGTTTTGGTGAGTGTGTGTGGATGGTGGGGATGAGGTTGGGCTGGGGCCTGATGTGTGTTATTTGCACAACACCTGATTTCAGGTGAAAGGTGAATTCCCCATCCCCTCCCCAGCCCCTGGGAGCTGGGCTTTCATGCTTGTGTTGGGGAGGCTACGGTTTGTGTGTCATTGTCCCAGAAAGGGTCCCTTCCCTGAAAGCTAGTCAGCTATGTTTTCTGCTTTTGAATTTTTGCTATTGGTTCCACCTCACATCTCCCTTCCCAGGAGGCACTGCCCCTGCCGTAGTGCTGCTGAGGCCATGTTCATTTCATCCTCATGTGTCCTTTCTCATGGGGACTAGAACACTGGTACGTCATCACCAAAAAGCCAATCTGTTCAGCTGCCCACAGATGCCATCCAAAACCTGCTGTCTCTTTATCACCTGGTACGATTCTCTCCACAGTGGACACAACAGACTTACTTTCAAGTCTGTGCTGGCCACGTGGTAGGTGAACCCCCAGTGCCCCCCATTCAGGTGGCCACAACTGCTTGTGAATGCAGCTTTGCCAGTGGTGTATCTGAAATCTGATCACAGTGATGAAATGGAATTTGGTCCAAGGTTACAAGCAGCTCAGACACCACTTGGATACTGATTTGGACGACATAGAAGTCAGACTCTGAATTCCAAAGTTATTTCTCATAAGTACCCAATGGCATCTCTCCATCTAAAAAGTTGCAGTATTATGCAAATGAAAGTGACCTCATTTTCTGCTATGCAATAAGAATACTTAATTCTCTTTCATGACAAACCAGTTGCAATATCCCCTAAGATGCTTTTTGAGCTGTCTTACTTTGATATCTGTTGTGTAAAGTTTATATATTCCTGAGCCAGATCCTTTCAAAGATTGCCTTTTTATAAAATTGAAGCTATAGCTTTCAGGCTAAAATTTTAATGTAGATATTTTTATAAGATAATTTTTCAAGATATTTGAATTGCTTTTTATTGTCCATGATAATGAAATGTTGTGTTCTATATGTCATTCACTCTCAAACATACTTCACGCCTTTAGCTGTCTTCCCTTTGTTTCTCACCCTCCAAAAACTGATTTTTCAGTAGCTCCAGATAGACAAGTCTCTTTAACTCTTTGACTTCTTTCTTGCACCATATTCAAGGGAGATTGCTGAATTTAAAAACACAATCACTAATGTTTCTTGAATTGCTTAGGGACTAATGTTAAGCTTGACTCAGCACTTACGCATCTAGATTGCCTGTCCACTTTATTGGGAGTCTGCTTTCCACAGGGGTGAGGCTAGTTGGCCCATCTCCTGGCAGCTCTCACTGCCTGGCACTGAGCCTGGCACGCCATGGTGTGGGGAAGCCCAGAGAAGGGCCTACTCGCCGCCCTATAGTTCTAGTAGTTTCCTAGGTCCAGCGGACCAGTCCTCGTTCTCTTCTGTCCCCTTGTTCTTCTGAAGCTTCCAACAGCTTAAGGCCTTTGCTGCTGGATGACATGTCTTTTGGAGGCATATTGTCTGTGAACTTTAAAAGAGGGGTCACTCCTCACGATCCCCCTAAGAATGTGTTAAGCATATGCTTTGTAGATGCTCATACTACACTTGTAACTTGTTTCTTGAGCTGTGTCTACACTCCAGGCTCTATTTTGTGTACTTATGTATCACTAGCCTCGTTTAAAAAAAATCTTTATTTTTATTATTATTGGGACAGGTGCCATTTGAATTGCCTCCATGCTCTCCCTTTGCACCTTGTTGGATCAAGTTGGGAGGTTGAGTGAACTCATATTCCAGTTAGCTGGAATTTTTAAGGCTCTGTTTGCCTGGAGAAGAAAGGAGGTTGGAATGTAATTTTTTTTAAGTGTTTGCACTACTTAGAGTCCTAAGCCCCTCAAGTTCAGCTGTGCTGTGTATCTACTGACCAAGCAGGGGAGCCGGCAGCACTTCTGACATCTGGGAATGGAAGAGGCTTCTTCCGTGGTGGATAATCACAGCCTCGTAGCCCTTGTGCAGCCTTTGTCATGGGGTGCGGTGACTCGTGGATATGGTGTCAGCCACGGCAGAAATGCATGGGTCTGTGGTGTTTGGAGAAATGAATTGCTCTAGTGCTTTGTTCTTGCCTTTGGTTTTGAGATTTCAAATTATTTTTCCCCTTTTTCAGTGGCAATAAAGGACCCTTGTTGGACTTCTTGTTTAACTTGTACATGATGTGTAAAATACTTTCTCCGAAAGAAAACTCAAGACACTTGAATGTGTATGTCTGTGTGGGTGCTCTGTCTGTGTGGTTGTCCACAGGCAGGCAGACTCGATCACTGATACCCCATACAACACATTGCATGGGTAAGGTCCTTGATCTGGTGTCCTCTGCTTGGATTTTAGGGACCGTATATCTTGTAAAAGAACACTTGTTACATGCTTGATCTGTTACAGTGATAGCTGAAGAAACAGTTCCTTGGATGTGTTATATTAACAGGAATTGTGTTCTAGTTTCCCATACTGTATGTTACTTTAATTTTAATAAAAGCCAAACTGTGAGAACCTTTCTAGGTATTTCATTTCTGTAGTCCAGCCTCTCACTATGCCTCAGACATGAAAAGGACAGACTTATTTCTGCTGTCTTCAAATTTTAAAATTTTCCCCTTAAGGTCGGCTGGGCAGGGTCTGGGTTCCTTTGGCCTCTGTTCTCTGGCCTCAGCACAGTGCCAGACCCACAAAAACCTTCTTCAGCGAGGCCCAGAGAGGCCAGTTCCTCCAGTACGTGTTCAGTGGTGTGGGCAGCTGCCCGGTGATCATTGTGAGGTGGGTGTACTGGTCTCCAGCATGGGGAGGAGGAGACAGAGATTCAGCGGTAAATAAACATTGATTTTAAAATGTTCATTATAAGACCTAGAGATTTTATAGTTTTTTTTAATGTTTTTATTATTAAATATATAAAATTTTATTAAATGTATACAACTATTTATTAAATGTTTATAAAATATCAACATATGAAATAGTAATAATAGTTAATGTTTATTGAGTACAGTCATGCGCTGCTTGACAACATTTCAGTTAGTGATGGACTGGGCACACGACAGCGGTCCCATAAGATGAGTACCAGACAGCCTGGTGTGTGGTAGGCTATACTATCTAGGTTTATGTAAGTACACACTATGATGTTCGCACAGCGACGAAGTCGCTTAACGATGCATTTCTCAGAACGTGTCCCTGTCATTAAGCGATGTGTGACTGTACTCACTATGTGCCGGGCACTTTTCTAAGGGCTTTACTTACATCAGCACATTTAACCCTCATTGTGGTCTTCCAAGTTACTAGTATTATCTTCATTTTACAGATGAAGATATGAAATGCAGAGAAGTTAAATAACTTGCCTAAGGTAGCAATGCTACAAAGTGATGGAGCCAGATTATTGGTTGCCCTCCAGAGGCTGTGTCCTTAGTCCTCCATCACTCCAGCCATGAGGCGGTGATGAGGGGAGGAGGGCATGCTGAGGAGCACCAAGGAGAGGAAGGCACCAGGGGTCCCTGGGGAGTGCAAACATGGCTCAAGAAAATTACTGAAGCCCAACTTTTCTGGCCAGTTGGACCAACAATGTCCCCATCTTATATTGACGGTAGTCATATCATACCATGCGATGATAGTAGCAGTACCCAATATTGGTTGTTTACTTACTTTGTGCCAGACACCCGCTAAATGCCTTATAACTTGGCCTTTTATCCCCATGAAAACCTCCGACGGAGGTGGCATTGCCCCTTTGGAGGCCAGATGTCTCCTGTTGACTCACCCCTTTCTGGACTCCTTCTCTCGAGTACCTGTGGTCCCTGGGAGTCAGCTCTGAAGCTAAGCTGGGCCTCCCTGGGTGGGAGGTGAGCCTCTTATGAAGTGGGTCTTGGGTTTGCCATGGCTGTGACTTCTCAAACCCACTCATTCAGGGACCTGGGCTCCTGCTCTGGTTAACACCTGGGCAGTCCCAGTCCCTTTCACCCTGTTCCGGGTGACAGATGGACAGCACAGAGGGGTCAGGCTCAGCTTCAAGCTGGAGAGACCCAGGGATGAGAGGGAGCCTCTTGGCCAGATCCCTCTCCACATTTGGAAAAGTAAATTTTGAGCTCCAGGAGGATGAAGCCTGGTTGACTTACTCTGCATCCTTGGTGCCTAGCACTCAGTTGGCACTCAGGAAATATTTGTGGAGAAGGGAGAAAAGCATGTGAGGACTCAGGTGGCGGTGCCTTCACCTCCGCCACCTCCTCCCTCTCCCCTGGGCTGGCCTCCAGCTGTAGCCTCTGATCTTTCACCCCATGTGGGTGAGTGGCGAGTGGGAGGGCTGGCGCCACTCGCCCTTTGCATCTCTAGAGCATTTGGCCTTTTCAGAATGATGAGAGCAGGCTTCTTTGAGCCCCACAACAGTGGGTGGGCCTGTGGGCAGGAATTTGTGTCTCTCTGGGACAGAGGAGGCCCAGAGAGGTGAATCCATTTATTTTAGAGTCTGTTGAAAGTGAGCAGTGGAGCAGACCCAGATGGAAACTACTAGATCTTTTGACCCACAATTGAGTTTGAGAATCACCCTGAGAAGAGGGCTCAGGCTGCAACTGTTTCAATAACCATAGTAGCTAGCATTTATTGTGCATTTACTGTGTGCCAGGCCCTGTCCAGAGCTCTTTAATTCCAGTTAATCCACACAACACCTCACGCAGGTAGGTAATGCCCAATTCACAGGATCACAGGGGTTAATTAACTGGCCCAAGGTCACACAGAGCCTTGAGAAGAGATGCAGCCCCCATCCTCCTATTGAAGCTGCTTGCCGAGTTGTGTCATCCTCAAATCCCAGAGGGCTGTACCCTATGGGCACATTCTGGAGCTAGGAGGTTGCAATGTCTGGCCCTCAAGGGCAGGTAGTGAGGCAGAGCCCAGAGCCAGGCTGGAGACCTGCTCTGCCGCCAACCTGCTGTGGGCTCGCTCACTCTGGGCCTGGCCACCGCCTCTGAGAGGGCCCTGGGGAGGGACTCATGAGCCAATGAGGGCTTATTGAGCACACACACCTTTCCCTCCCCTTGGCCCTGTTGGCCTGGTTTCCCCTTACCCGGGAAAAGTTCCAGCGTGAAATCATATTTGGTAGTTTTTCTACAGTTTACAAATAGGGTCTTTTGACCCTAAATAGCTAGTTTATTTTAATACAAAGTCTTCTGTTTCTGTCTGCCTCATGTGGTTTTCACTGAGCAGTCTGCATTCCTCACTGGCTATCCTTTCTGCCCAGGCGGCTTTCCCATAATGCTCCATGTCAGGGCCCATGGGAAGGGGCACCTGGCTGGGACTTCAGACATGGTCAAATCCAGCCCCCGCATTTGCAGATGGGGAGGCTGGAGCTTGAAGCTGTGGAAAGGCAGCTGGCTGTTGTTCATGGGCAGTTTCGAAGTGGCCTGTTAGTGCCTGAGGCAGAGCCAGGTCTCCCACAAGCCCAGTGAAGGCTCCAGGGCCCACGCCTGCTGGCCCGCACCTGAGGTTGCTATGGGGTTGAGGAAAGGCAGTGACTGAGGGTCACAACCCTTTCTGGGGTGAACAGAGAGGAGAGGTGTTCCTGTCATGGCAGTCCTGGTCTCTCTCAGATGCCTGTCCTGTGGTCACTCCAGCTTCGAAGGCTTCTCTAAGCTCCCAGGTGGCTAGAGGCCCTGACTCCTCCTCAGGTATTAGAGTCCTCAACTGATGGGGTGGAAGGAGGCCTTGTTCACGCCTGTGTGACCTGCAGGGCAGCCTTCTCCCTCTCTGGGCCTTAGTTCAGTTCCTCAGCTGTAAACTTAGGGCTCTTCTGTCCTTGTAAGCATTTACGCTACTTGCTAGGTCCTGTTCTTTCTCCCACTTTACTGGTGAGGAGATGAGGCTCAGAGAGGCCAAGCCACAGTGGGGAGCTGGGTTCTGAACCCATATCTTCTGTGGAAGTGGTTTTGACCACGATGTCATGTGTGTTTTTAAGTTCTTAGGCCGCTTGGCCCCACCAGTGAACACACATGATAAAGACGGTTTATGGATCCCCTAGTTGTATGCTTTACAAGGACTGGAAAAGTCGGCTTTAGACCTCTTTCCTTCCCTTTGTTTCCTTCCCTTCCCATTCCCCATTCCCAGGTGCCTCTAAGAGAGACCCCACTGTTTTTCCCAGTGTTGGAAATCTTTTATTTTCCCTTCACAGGATGTTCAACAAACAGTTACTCATTCAACAAAAATACATTCAGCATCTATGCTCTACCTTGTGCCAGGTACTTGCGATGCAACTGCCAACAAAGCAGATGGTCCCTGTGGACCTGGAGGTTAGAGTTTTGTTAGGGACAGTGTTGGTAAACAGCAGGTATGGATGCTAGTGTGGGCTGGGGTGAGAGGGGAGAGAGAAACACACACACCCAGAGAGAGGGACAGACTCACAGGGACTGGGCAAAGGGTGTGAGATTCACACGGAGCAAGAGAGACAGAGAACAAGAGAAAGAGACTGAGGCACGCAGAGACGGGAACAGAGGGAGACAGAAACACAATGAGAAAGACACATACACACATGCACACACAGCCAGAGAAGAGACTCCGCTCAGACCGAAATACAGAGGCAGAGACCCAGAGAGAGAGAGAGAGAGAGAGAGAGAGAGAGAGAGAGAGAGAGAGAGCCAGAGCCAGAATCATTTCTTAAAGTGGCAGAATACAGGTCAGCCTCACACTTCAGGTTGGAAGCTTCTGAGTCAGGAGCCGTGGGTTCAAATGTGACTTCTGGTAAGGTGATGCTGTGGCTTTGAGCCAGTCTCTTCACCTCTCAGCATCAATGTCCTCAACTGTAAGATATGGATGCCAACACGGGTTTTGTGAGCTTGTGGAGAAGACAACATGAGAAGACCTTAAACCATAGAAGATAGCCACGGTAGGTCCCGGGGAGACCAGGCTGGGCCAGGCCGAGCATCCTCTAGAATGAGAGACTGAGTTTCCTACAGTGACAGTGCTGAGAAGGCCCTGACTGCTTGCAGGTCACCATGAGCCAGGAGTGCGAGTGGAGGGAAGAAAGACACAAGAAAGGAGACAAGCTCTCGGCCCCAGGGTCTTGTCTGGGCTGGGGAATTCACCTGGGGTTTAATCTTTGGAGGAGGCCCCTCTGTGAAGCAATGTGGAAGGGGCCTGGTTTCACTTGGCAACCACTTGGCTTTTTTCTATTTGCACAACTGTGTTTAAATCCCTTTTGTTCCTCCATCCAATGGGTGGGCATGGGGGCACAATTCTCAGGGGCTTACTCCTGCTGTAGGAGTAGGGCATCTTCCCAGCTTCAATCCCATTGATTCCAGGGAATGTGGGGTTTAGTAGGCACATGTGTAACTATTTCTATTACTGAGGCATTTCAAATGTGGTTTGATTTTCAGAAAAGCCCAGCAAGGTAGCTAAGGCAGGTATTATTTGGTGCAGTATGTCTCTACGTATTGTGTACGGTGGTCACTTTCTCACTGCAGTGGGTGGTGCACATGAAACACTCTGCATGGTAACTGCACATAGTGGGTGATTTATTAGTGGTAGTGATTGTTA